TTATAGCCTACTGCTTTCCACTTTATACCATAGAAAAATATTTCTCTGTCAGTAGTTATTCTTACATAGTCTTTTGATGATTCTCATAGTTATTTTAAAATTTCCTTTTATATCTGACTTAGTTTTGTGAGTCCTGCTTTTGGAGGTGAGAAAACTGCAAGCAGCTCAGTTTCCTTTCATTGGCAGTGTTCCTGCTACCCCATGCTCTTCTCTGCCCACCTTCCCAGGGTGGCACAGGGCCGCATGCAGGGGTCTGGTCACAATTGCTTCAGCAATCCCACAGGGACCCCAACCTCTCATAAGAATTTGAGATCATGCGTCCAACGTGTTACCTGTATACACAGCGGGGCATTTAAAGCCCTCCTTACCTTCAGATGATGGCTGTTGGCTTTCATGCACAGAGAAAGAGCAGACCAAAGTGATACCCGTGCCCAGCTGCTTGCTGGGTCAGCTGCGGATGGGAGGTGGAAGCCCAGCTCACTCAGAGTGAACGTTTCCGGTCTCTCATTGTCCTTAAGCATTCAGGTGGACAGGAGTGATGAAGAAGACAACTAATAATGCATTTGCGTAAAAGCTCTTCGGAGTGCTAAGACCCAGTCATTGTTTTCCAGCCAAGCAAATTAAATTCTTTCCCTGTGCATATCTCCAAGTTGCAATCCTGTAAAAAGAAATTATTGACTCTAACCTTAGGCAGTGACCATCTTTTTGTAATTTATGTTTAAGCAACACATCTCTAAGGATTACTTTTGAAACTGACTTCATTTCTTTAGAAGGAATGAGCCTTGTGCTAGAATCAATTTTTCATGTACCTTTGCAAATGAGCTAGGATAACTTCTCAGGGTAGCTGCGTCTCCATTTGTAAAGTACATATTGTATTTTATGTATATTACGGCTTCCATAATTGTGGCATCACATTTTCTCCAGTAAAATTGCCAGAAGGGAGAAGAAAGTTCCTAGACATAGTGTATAATTGTTTCTTTAAAAATCAAAGACTGCTACAGCAAAGGCCATTTTAAATAACACTTCAAGAATGCGTGTTAGTTCATTTGCTAGCAGAAAAGAGTGCTTGGAAGGGCTGGCCAAGTAGCTCAGCAGATTAAAGCACCTGCAGACAGGCGCAGTGGCTGGGGATTCGACCCAGGGCCTGCTGTGCCAGCCCCGCCCAATTGAGACTGGGTGTGGTGGTGCGTGCCTGTAATCCCAGCTCTCGGGAGGCTGTAAACAGGAGGATCACTATGAGTCCAATCTAGTAGTGAGACCCTGAACACCCTGTAGACCCTTCCCTAAAATACAAAAAAAGAGAAAAGAATGGTTGAAGAATCTTTCTCTTGGTTTTTTTATTTTCCCTTCATGATTAACTCTCAAAAAAATGCCTTTAATTAATTTTATTTCCAATTGCTAAATTACTGGCAACCATATCTACATTAGCACTAGATAAATTCCAAATCCCCTTTCAAACAACTTACCATTCTGATTGGAATATCCATTCAAAACACGAGTATTAAAAATACGAAAGAATGGGGCTGGTGAGATGGCTCAGTGGTCTAAAGCACCTACTTAGAACAAGCTTAGCAAAGCACAGGGACCGCGGTTCAATCCCCCAGCACCACATGCCAGCCAGCCCCCCCCCCCACCGTGGGCAGAGCTGGCCACACACACACACACACACACACACACAAATTAATTAATTAATTAATTAATTAAATTTTTAAAAAAACGAAAGAAGAACCCAGCATGTTGGTGCGTGCAAGTAATCCCAGCACTGGGGGGTCTGAACTGCATAACAAGACCTTGTATAAAAAAATAAAATTATCTTGAGCCCATCACAAGTTATACATGTTGATAATCAAAACTTACAGTTGGAAAACATGTGCAAAGTATTAGCTCTTTCTGTGATGATAAGCAAATACATTCTATAGAGAATGATTTATTTGCAATTAGCCAAACTTGTTTTCTACCAAAAATAAGTGGGTTGTTTTTCACAGATCTCAAATAACAAGTATGAGGACAGAACTCTCACTCAACATTCAAGCCCTTGCAGTTTGGGCAAATATAAGTTCAGCAAGAAGGTAAGTAAAATCATCCCTCTCCCTATTATTTTGACTGTGGTCACTAACTAAATTAACGTTTTCCATATATCGCTGTAGAGCGCGGCCATATGCTTTATGTTCCCTGTCCGTGGCTCTGCCGGCTCCCTCTGTAAGGCAGATACGCACCATTGTCTTCCTGGCTCATTTTATCTTCTGATTATGAGTTAGAAGGTGGTCAGTTTGTGTAAAGAGGCAGATCATTTGATGTCTTGAGCCTTGGTTTTGATTGCCTACACTGCCCATGGCTAGTTATTATTATTATTGATTTACAAAGGAAACAAATAACTATTTAAATTCCTCTGATAAGAAAGCCTTAGTCCCTATTAATTTTTTTTAAGGTATTTAGTACAGGGTCTACAGGGTCTCACTATGTAGATCAGACTTTTAGTGATCCTCCTGTTTTCAGCCTCCCAAGTGCTGGGATTACAGGTGTGTGCCACCATGCTTTGTGTCATTCGCCACCTCAGCTCGCCCCCAGGGTGGGGCTGGCCCTCTGGGGGTCAAACCCCAGCCACTGCATTCTGTCTAAGCAGGCACTTTAGTGTGCTGAGCTATCTGGCCGGCCCCCCTATTAATATTTTATTCATTGCACTTTCACATCTGTTGCATGTAAATACATTTATAAGTTTTATTTGCTTAATACTTAACATGGTATTGTTAACATTTTCCCATACCAAAAAATTAGACTTAAAACAATTTAAATGTCTATATTCCGTCTTGTGGCTGTAGAAGAATTTAAGTGTTCTCCTCTTTGAGAATCATTTCATTGCTTTCACTTTTTCACTGTTATAAATGCTTACCAGAGAAGTTTTATGCACTGATATTTTTATATTTCTATTTACTGCTTAAAGTTGTGTGCAGCTCAGCAGTCTAAGTGCCTGCCTGCCAAGTACAAAGACCAGGATTTGATCCCTGTACCACATGCCGTGCTGGCCCTGTCACCGGGCATGGTGGCACATCCCTGTAATCCCAGCACTGGGAAGGCTGAGACAGGAGGATCACTAGGAGTCTGAGCTAGGTAGCGAGACCCTATACTGAGTAAATGATTATACTAAAAAAAAATAAGTATTATTAAGGCCTTCATGGAGGTATTATTTAATTTTTCTCAAAGATTATGCTAACATACTCTCATCCTAAATTCTCACCAACATGGAGATTTGTCACTTTCAAGTTTATTATTTCAAGCATGTAGATAGTGTTTTTGTTTTATATATTTGATTACTCCTGAAATTTTACAAGATTAATAGTTTGTATCTTGTCTATGAGCACCCTTTGCTTCCGAGCTCCAAGTTATGTTGCCTATAATAGTTCAGGTTTATTAACTAGATTTTGGTTGTCTGTGCCTGCTCAGATTTTAAAAACTGAAATTTTTGTTTTTAAAAATGGAAGCAATGGGGCAGGGGAGATGGCTCAGTAGAATAAGTGCTTGCCTGGCAAGCGCAAGGGTCTGAGTTCAATCCTCGGTTCTGCAATAAATAAATAAATTAATTAAATTAAATTAAAAAGGTTTTTAAAAAATGGAAGCGAAGGGGCCGGTGAGATAGCTCAGTGGTCTAAAGCACCTGTGCAGGCAAGCTTAGGCAGGCTCAGGGGACCGCAGTTCTACCCCCAGCACCACATGCTGCACCAGCCCTGCCCTCAGGGTGGGCTGAGCTGGCCAAAAAAAAAAGAAAAAAAAAAGAAAGAAAATGGAAGGAAGATACTTTTTCTATAGGTTAAAGCTGTGGAATACTGTCACTGGTGTTCATGCATGTAGATAACTTTGCTCATACTTGTATTTTTTTGCAGGGACAGACAGAATTCATCATTAGTTTGGCTTTTTGCTGGAATGCTTTACATCTACTCATTGTTCTTTGCTTGGAGGGCAAATTTAGATATTTCAAAACCACTTTTCATGGGTGTGGTAAGTTGTACTTAGATACATCCTTCAGCCAGAAAGTTTGTGAAGATTGTTCAAATATGTCTTTCATGAACCTTGTAGAACAGATAATTCCAGAAGAAAATCATAATTTTGATAAATCAGAAGTTAAATTATTAGCCCATTAAGACTAAGCCCATTTTTAGGGAGGACTCCCAACATTTAGTTAACACTGTTGGAAAATATAAAAACAGATCTCAGACATTTTAGTCATTTTGTGTATATTTACTTGCAAATGTATGTACAATTGCATTTTGCCAGGAAATTGTTTTAGGATAGCACAGGAAGTAAGTGGCATTAGTGAGGCACTTCCAACGCATCCCTTCGCTCTTTAGCTCACGGGGCCAAAGAGCTGTTTTGTCAGTGGCTGTCCCTGAGATTAGGGTATTTCTTCTCCTTACAATAGAAACTATATGTATCAGTCGAGAAACTAGATAAGCCAGTGTAAATGAGGTGAGCCGCGTTACTGGTGATCATCCTGACACTGCGGAGTGTGGCTCCGTCTGTGGGCAAAGGCCCCCATGCTGCTGGCAGGGCAGGCCGACCCAGCTGCCATCACATGCAGTTGTGCAGAACGGGCCTGGCCCTGTCACCCTCCACTGGCACCACAGACTCTCCTCCCAGACAGAGACTCTGCCCCAGGCTTCCTGGGCCAGCTCACTTCTAAAAGCAGGGGTGGCAGGCTCAATCCCAGCTCCCCCCTCCCTGTCCAATCATTCCCACATCTCACAGGAAGAAGGGAAGGAGGACCCCAGAGCTGTTAGACTCAAGGGATGGAAACCAGGAGTCAGGCCAGAGCATTTTCCTACCTCGTCCACCTGATACCTGGAGCCTAGGGTAGATGGTTACCAGGCTGAAGTGAATATTTGCATACGCAAAGGAAGATGCAGGCTCAGGATACAGCTCAGTGGCAGGATGCTCCTCTGGCATGCACAAGGCCCCGAGTTCCATCCTTAGTGCCACCAAAAATGAAAAATTAAATTAAAAATAAAAGAGGCCTATGTCCAACTTTGCTTGAAAACTGAAAAATGCAACAATCTGTGTGTGCTCAGTTTGGGAAGTCAGATCTGCATGAGAGCAGGCATAGCGCTGGGTTTAAGCAGTTTGTTGGTAAAGTAGATAAGTACTCCAGTGCTTGCTGGAGCTGCCAGTGGACACATGGCTTGGTGTTCCCGCAGGTGGAACGCTTCTGGATGCAGAGCAACGCGGTGGTGGCCGTCCTCGCTGGCCTCGGCTTGGCCACGCTCACGTCTGAGACTAAGAGAGCGCTGAACAGTGGTGGGCTTCAGTGTCTGGAATGGCTTTCGGCAACTCTGTTTGTGGTTTACCAAATGTATTCTAATTATAGGTAACCCGGGGTTATTTTTATGAAAAGAAGCAACCAAGAGAGAGAGAGATGCGGAGACTTAGACTGTGGCACTGTCTCACTTTTAGCTTGTATTGGTTTCCAAGACTTGAGTGCGACATCTTAGTCTGAGAGCAGTGGTCTTTGATGTCTGGGAGGAGTTAGTGATCCTGAGACAGCTCTGGAGTGGTGGCAGGTGTGTTCTGGAGTGTGGACAGACTGCATGCTGACCTCTGAAGAACCCTGAAGGTGTTTTGTAGAAGCCACTATGTGGAATTCCATGATCTAAAATGCCACTTA